ACATCCGCTGAGGGCCTGGCAGAGGTTCATAGGGCCCTAATCCCACTCCGGTGCCTGGAAGCAGGGTTACGTACACGGGGGGAGACAAGGTGTGGCAGAGCGCCTGGTCAGGCAGATTCAGCACTGCAGCTGGAGGATGTGAACCTCCCCAAAGACCCCATAGTGAGTGAAAAGTTAGCAAAACCACGGTAGTCCACTTGTATTACATGATGTACACAAAGGGTTGTGATATTTAGACAGCTGCAGTCTGATCAGTGAAAGATAAAAGCGTATCATCTCAAATTTATATACCAAAAATAAGCATTTGCAATTTCCAGTGTGTAACATTTAGTTAATAATGGTATTCATAGGTATGTTTTCATTAGTGTATAATCCCCTGAAAATAAGAATTGTTGTTTCTACAGTAGCCCAGAATGGACAAACCAGTATACTGCATACTGGCTCTAAATAGGGCCTTGCATGTTTCTTTGTGAGTTTCGCTGCCACTGGAGTTTCTCCTACTTGCTTGGAAGGCTGAGCTGTTTTCAAATTGGTTGCAATCTGCAATTTCAACTCTAGCTGGCACTAAATCCTACACACTGCTCATTTAAGTCAGCAAAAACTTGATAAATGTGATAGATATTATTAGAACTGTAAATGTACAGGACATTTTCACCACAACCCAATACTCGGAAGTGAAGGAATGATGAATGAATGAAGTAACCAGCCTAATGATTATTATCAACCTAATGATGATCATTTCTGTCAATGAGCTCTAAATAAACCGTATGTGTCTAGTTGGAATAGACTTCCACTTAGCTTTAACAAACATTGCAGAGAACTTTTTCTCAGTGGGAAAAAACAGTCCCCGCCTGCTACACCTCTTGTAAACTGATACTAACTGTTTGAACAGAGGTGGGGCCAAACCATGTATAATCTTATACAATCTTGTTATTGATGCTTTCATCAAACCCGAAGTGAACAGGTGTATTTCAGTTTAGTCAGTTGTTTTTGTATGAGATCAGTATGGAAACTGTCAAAGCCATAGCACAAAATGTAGCCAAAGCAAAATGTTAAGTGAATAATACTATACTATACTATTCTAATACAAACTATCATACAACAGCAGCAACACACAGAGCTCGACATAGAGCTTTGGTTAAAATAATAAGTGTGATAAACCACACATTTCCATCTGCATTTACTTTTCATATCACTGTGGTATTTTTGTTTCAGAAACAACAGTATTAACTTTGTAATAGATGTAATATGTCAGATAATGCAGCATTGAGCGCTGTGAGGGTATTTGTATTGTCAGATGATTGATTGTGTTGCACATGCTGTGCTGTGGTGATTCCCTGGCTTCAAAGGCAAAACTGTCGATAAGTCCTGCTCTGTTAAAGCACAAAGAAAACTTAGCTTCCACCATAGTGCATATCAATTTTTTAGTAATGTTTGCTCTTGTAGTTTCACAGGGATTTCCCTGAACCACATCAAACGACTACATCTTATCTGCTATTGTTTGTTTTGGCCCCAAATCATGGCTCCTTAGACTGATTTGGATATGAACAGGGGCATGTTGCAAAGCTAGTCGGGGGATTGGACAGTGAAAAGGTCTGGCTTACTGAATTCCTGAGTCGGCCTGCAATATGCCAGGTTTGACATCAGCAGTGGAAAGGAAGAGAGCAGGCAAAAATCTTTGGAGGAGTGAAGGCTATTTCTGGCTCGGCATGTCAAGTTTTCTGCTTGATGATTTAGGCAGAGGCCTCTTAGCAGCATTTACAGTGTGCAGTGAAGTTGTTGTCAGGGTAATTCTGGCTACCACTGGAGGGAACCTATCAGTAGACAGCTGTGTATCTTTCATGGTCAGGGATGAGGAACAGGCCTTTTTCCCATCAGTATGGTTTGTTGAGCTGCTATCATGAATTCACTTAGTTTGTCATGGATGGCTTGGACTGGGCCCTCTATTATAATGTCCCATCCTTATTAATAGTGTACATATGGAGGGTAATTCCCACATGTAAATTAATAGAATAGGTTATTTTGGCTTTCTTCATTATTATTATTGATATAGCTATCGTAGTTGGGGTAATGGTGTTATTAGTAATTGAAAACAACATTTCCCAAAGCACAAGCTATTGCAGCAGAAGGTTTAAAGTAAATACACTTATGAGATGAGGAATGCTAAAGACGTGCCCAATAACATCATTACATGCACAATAACAACTTCTAGTGGACCGCAGCATCTAACAGAACAGACATCAATGTATATGTCATGACTCAGGGGTGCCTGGCAACAAATCAAGACTGAATAATATCTGTGTTTTTAACAAAAAAAGAGTCTACAGACACACCAGTAGCACTGTGAGACAGTACTTCAGCACAGTGTTTGCAAGTACTGTTGATGGCCCCAGATGAAAACCAAAGTCATAACAATTCATGCTGACAGGGACATAAATGTGTGTAGCAAATTTCATGGCAATGCATCCAGTAATTGTTGAGATATTTCACATAAAACCACAAATTTTAACTTCGGGGTTCAAAGAAAAGTGGGGGGATTACGAAAGTAGTAGGGTTCATCCTCTGGGGACCATGAATATATGTCCCAAATATAATGGCAAGCTTTATTTATTTAAGTCTTGACCAAAGCGGTGGGCCAACTGACAAACACACATTGCCACCCCTGGACTGTCATTCCAGTTCTTTCCAAAAGCAGTTTAATGACTACTTATGAGTATGATTGATGCAAGGAGGAGGACATTTCAGAACGGGAACAGGGGAAATATTTATAAAGAATATGAAAGAATCTTACTGTGTACAAAGAATGTCAACAAGAGACACAGTTAGCTAATGCAAGGCCTTAATTTGACAACGCTACATGAGTTCCAGCTTTTCAAAACAACTTTAGGAAGCGTTTTTCAGCAGTTCTGTCTTCCCACCGCCCTTAATTGGCCCACATGCTCACAGTGGCCATACGTGTGTAGTCTAATTGCCAGCATTAAAAACATGTCATCGGTATAGCAGTTCAAATGTTTCAAGAAAAAATGTTATGACTGCCCAGAGGTTTGCTTGGCTAAAGTCCTCACTGACACACCCAGTCCCCTCTGCTACTCATTCACTGCTGCACAATTTGACACAAATAATAGAGCAAATGTTGACCTAACCTAGAAACCGGGTGGAACAAAATACCATGGTCCAAATACAAAATTCCTCATTATCTAAAAGACGGTGTGATGACCATGTGATTTTATGCCAGTGTCAATAATACATGTGTTTGTGGTGTAGATGGCCTGTTAAAATCTGACCAAATGGATTATTTGAGAGAGCCAGCTGGAGGGAAGAATGGAAGAAAATGGCTGATGATAATTAAAATCAAAGCAATCTAATCAGCCATTGCCGTAAGGACATCACTCAGTCAAGCTAAAAAAAAAAGTAGTAGTCACTTACAGCTAGTTATAAATGATGCATGGAAACCTTAAACCTTTCGCTGAGTACCGGTCGTCTCCGGTTTCCAAACCTGTATTTTGTTTCAAAGAGTCTGAACCACATTTTCCACTTACTTAAATGATAATTGACTTCTCATGACATCCGTCTCTATTCCTTTCTACCAAATCAGGTTTTGAATTTTTGGACGGGCTTCCAAAGAGCACATGATGGTTTTCATTTGGAAAGTCACAGATAAGTGTTTGAGATGGCAAATCATTCAGCTTCTCTTTTCATTTGTCTCCCCAGAACATTAGGTGTTAAAGAGCACATTGTTTCCATTTTGCCCAAAAATGCTTTTCTGCTGAATTAACCATCTGCTCGTTAGGGGGGCAAGCTTAAGCCAGTTGTTTTAAATGATGTGTTTTGATGTATGTGTACTGCCAAGTAAAGCACAGTCCATCTCCTGTTATGCCCATTTAATAGGAACACCCTCACAGGCTCAGGTCATTACCATATGTCTTTCTTTTCTTAACCCTGGCCTTGGTTGACCATCCAACATTTACATCTGCATGCCTCCGCCTTAAATGTACGGGTTGTTACCATAAGCAGTTACATACTGTACCTTCAGATCATGGATGGTTCTCATTTACTGTGTCGCAGGCACTTTGAAGTTGGTCAAGTTTCTCTTAAAACTAGACATGCTTCTCCACTCTTCTCAGCGCAGTGTCCTGCGTGTGAACCCTGTCAGGACCACCTCAGCAGGGTGCCTGCATGGGTCAAGGTCAGGGTCCTTTTTACAAGCTGTCATGTGTTTAGTAGTGAAACTGTCCATCAGACAGCGAGCTAGTACACAATAAATACAAACATCATACCATTTTGAAGTGCCTGGGAGCCAAGCGTCAGGAAAAAAATTTACAAGGACATCTATTATGGATATCCAACTGAACAAGCAGAGATTTGTCCTCAACTCTTTAACCGACACATGTGAATTGGTGGAGAGCATAGAGAGGCCCTGCTTCGCCTTTGACCCCGACAGTACAGTGCCTCGGCTCCTGAGATAGCAGAATGGTCACGTTAAGCAGACCACTAAGTAGTCCGGTGATCTTGGCCTTGGCTATCGGAAGAGACAGTGGGCCCCCCATTTACGTAAATTTATGGCCCCAGTCCTGGGGTGGGGTGCCCCAGATCCCAAGTCTGTTATCTGTTATAGAGGAAAATGTCTGACATACTTGGGTGGACGCCTGCTGCGTGCTCCCAGTCAGCAGAAAGTGAGTGTAGTCTCACAGGCTGCATAAATGTTTTCTGAATGTTGTAAGGTAGAGTGATTTACAAAGAGCTGCAGCTGTCTCTCCGCTGGATCAGGAGGAGGGGTGCTAATGAGATCAATGGAGAACCAGGTCAAAATAGAGCCTAGGTGTCTCATTTGACCCCTTTGGACATCCCAGTCTCCTATATTAGCTGTAATCTTATTGTAATGAATCAGATAAAGTCTATATCGTATCTTGATACTATGCATAGGAGTAGTTTCATTGCCATTGCTTTTATTTGTGTTCTCGCTTATTTAGTGTATTTCTCTTTCTCTTTGTTCCCCACAGTGACAGACACCATGTCTCTAGCTCCATCCCTGTGCCGACCAAGTCTCAGCTTGGTGTGTCTGCTGCCTCGGATATAGGCTACCCCTGCCACACCAGCTCCCCAGACCGAGGCCTGAGGAAGAGGGCGAGCTCGGAGGCCGATAAGCCCAAATACAAGCAAACTCCTCCACCCAGCTACAACACAGCCATGGGTGAAGAGCAGTCCCCAGATGGCCTAGCCACACCCTCGCCTTCGACCAAACACCTGTCCTCCTCCCTTGACGCCGGCATGGCATCACTTAACCTGGCCAAGACTATGGAGGCCACCGAGGAGGGAGAGCAGAAGGAAGAGAAAGGGGAGAGTGGGGAGACGGGAGTGGAGGAGAGTCGCAGAAGCACTGACAGAGAGGCTGAAGTAGAAAAAGAAGAAGAGACTGAAGAGCAACCAGCCAGTAGCACAGTTGCACCCGACTCTTCTACAGTGCTGGACACTGGTGAGGAAACAGTGGCCACTAGTCAGCACACAGGTGCCATGAACGGCTCTTTGGTACCAGAACAGGCACCTGTTAGCCTGGTCCCAGAGCTGCGCTGCTCTGTAGAGCAAGCTGAGGAGATCATGGGCACAGAGGCCACCGGTTTAGGCCTGGGGTTAGGAATGGGGTTGGCGTTGGGACTAGCAGACGAGGCCCGGCTTGAAGACTACCGCTGCATCCCCGTGGACCACGCTGTAGCTGTGGAGTGTGATGAACAAGTGCTGGGCGAGCTGGACGTCGCTGGCTTTGAGGAGTTCTCCAGGCGCATCTATGCACTCAATGAGAACATGTCCAGTTTCCGTAGACCACGCAAGAGCTCTGAGAAGTGAGGCGGAGGACCTAAGGAGAGAGGGAGGCATGAAAAGACTTGCACAGGGGGATTGGACAAATACAAGGCAGGGACATGAACTGAGGGGACAAGGGTGGAGTCCCCCACTCCCTTACCGCAGCATCAAAAATCATAGGAGCTATTCTGGAATAACGACCAATTTGCACTTATTGTCAACATTTCCATAATAATCTTTTAAATGAAACAAGTTCAAAGTGAAGTATGGGGACAGTAAGCTTTACTTTTATGATTGATGCCAGCATTAATATATTTTTTAACAATGGATGGAACAATGAACCATTATTCAGACATTTTCATTCACAAGAATATTCGGCCTCAGCGTTAACAATCGCACTCTATGAATTAGTGTCCATTATTGTAGTCTGTTGTTCCATAACAGGGGCCATTCATGTCAAAAGACACACAAACAATGCATATCACTTACACTTTGTTTTCAGACCCTTACAGCAATAAGAGCCCTTCTTGTACAAAACATCATTGTGTGTAAACTGCATTTAAGATTCACAGTGCAGCCTTATTAGCCCATATTAAAATGTTTCAATGCAGCAGCTGCATATCCTTTTCCTTATCACTGTACCTCAAGTTTCACCTTAACTAGAGGAGCTTTTTTGGGCAGTGTATCAATTATAGAATCATTAATATAAACATAAACAGAGATTAATAGTTGCAACTGGAAGTTTTATCATGTTGAATCATCACAGAGCCTGCTGTCCCAGTACTTACACCTTTGACTGTATAAGCAAAGGTTTAGACGCTTTCCAAGCCTTCATTCAGGGTGCATGACAGTGGGTGTGTGCTGTAGGGAGGACATGATGTGTATGTGTGTGTGTTACACATAAGCATGTACCCACAGTCACACAATCACAGTTAGGTGTCCAGTAATCCCACCAATGACCTCTGACCTCTGAAATGGCAGGAGTATGCAACCATATAGCGAGGTGGGAGCTGGAACCGGTAGCCCAATCAGAGACTCCCTATCTGTGACACACGGCATCTCCTCTCCTGCGACAGCTCAACCCACTCGCCATTCTCAACGTCGAGTTTCTCCTTCAGGTCTTAAGACGAGGATCACGAGAGTGGCTGGTTGGAGCTTACAGCACATGGCAGGGAAATGGTGCAATTGTTTTTCTGTCCATCTCCATGTCCTCTTTTCTCTTTTATTTTTTTAATTTTAATGTATCTCATCAATATTAACGTCAATGTTAATGTTAAGTCCACTGATTCTCATATTCAGTAGACCAAAAATTGAATTCTGTGTCTGTGTTCAGTTGGAATGTCTCACTCAGGCTCGACTGTAAGTGTTAATAGTAAGTGTCTCGATCCCATTGTCTGTGATTTTGTCCTGTGTCTCCATGTTCTGAATGCTTTCTTGCACTGGTATTCAATTATTGCATTATTTATGTCTCTCAACAATTGTGTGTGCTTTGTTTCAAAGGAGATCAATATCTAGTTTTATTTTCCCCATTCACATGGGATGTCGCTCATTATTATTGTCAGATGTTAGACTGATATCATAACCAGTGTCTGGGTCCTGACGTAGACAGCTGCTTTGCATCGCCCGCCGTGACAAAGATGGACTCTCCACCAGCAGCCCACTTTGTGATTCAGATCCAGCACTGTGGTTGCTAGCTGTTGAGAATTATTGTATTTAAAACTAAAAGATGAACCATGTTAGATCATTTCCATAAACTGCTATACAGTCCAGTAATTGACCATGTACATATACTTTTGTATGGAGGGTTTTTTTGTTATTAAAGACTTGCAGTCCAATGGCATGGATGTATGTAGCCCCCTTTAAGAGTAGTCTGTGTACATTTGTGTTGGTGTGGGTGTGCTCAAGTTTGCATGTGAGGTGGTTACAGCCATGAACTTACAATGTGTGGAACATGTAGGATGTGATGGTTTCAAAATAGTATGAAAATTTACAAAATTACTCTCCTGGAAACAGCTAAATTAAAAAAGTGAATGTCTGAGAGGCAGTGCTTTGAGCTAAATGCTAACATCAGCATATGCTCAAATTGTCCATGCCAACCTGCTGATGCTAAGAAGTTATGTTTACCATATTCACCATCTTAGTTAAGCGTGTTGGCATGCTAGCATTTGGAATGTAGATCTAAACACAAAGGTAGCGCAGGGTTGGGGTAGATGAGGCCCAGCTCGAAGACTACCACTGCTTCCCTGTGGACCGTCATTTTAATTTATTTGAACAACTGTTACTGTAGGTGTATGAGGCACCTAATGGTCATTTAGACCATAATACAATACACATGTTTTCAGTTGATTAGACCTTTGCTCAGGTTTAAGCTGGCCAGAGGTATGTTTGAGAACTTTCTCTGACAAATACTTAATGCCACCCAGTTTACTATCATATAAGACCGAGAGATGCTGCAAATCATGGAGTGGAACGTGAAAGTGAAAGGAATTAGACAATTATCAAAATAGAAATGAATTTTCTGTCAGTCAGCAAATGAACGAATCTGAACCGTTTCAGCTTTACCCCATGTACTAGCGCAGAACTCCGCCAAGGCCAATAGTCCAGACTTCTATGCAAAAGGGTAAACCAATAACTTCAAACAGGTTGGAAATTCTGGAGGAATCCAGATAAAACCCATCCACACCATTCATGGTAAATGGACCTGTACTTGTATAGCGCCTTTCTAGTCTTCCGACCACTCAAAGCAGAGCGCTTTTACACTACGTGCCACATTCACCCTTTCACACACATTCACTCAGTGATGGCAAAGTCCATCGAACAGAAACTAACATTCATACACATTCACACACTGATGCACAGCATCGGGAGCAATTTGGGGTTCAGTATTTTGCTCAAGGATACTTCGACATGTGGCACCAGGGGCTGGGGATCGCACCCACAACCTTCTGATTTAGGAACGACCCGCTCTGCCTCTGAGCCACAGCCGCATTACATATGCACGGAGAAGTCAGTTAATTTTTCCATGGGAATGTGATTTGGATCTGCTCCCAAAAAATCCTTTCAACCAAGATTCACAGAAATCATTGTTCCATAATCTTGCTGACGTAAACGGCACCGAAAACATAACTTCCTTGGCGGAGGTGATAAAACAATGGACTTTTGTCACGGCAGACATGTTGACTTAAAGCAGGAAGAGCACAGGTGTAACTAATAACATTAAAGATGGCTCTGTTCCACGTAGGTGTCACTGTAAGCACAGTCCTTACAGCGGGGCCTGGACGCGGCACACCTAAATGGAAATCAGCCTTTCTTAATGTTAATGAATTTATTGTTTACACCAAAATGTGTCCTGTACACGCCAGCACAGCCCTGACAGAAGACCTAATAAGGTCAAATTAGAGAAAAACACATGTGTACTTGGACCAAGTGCAACTCTTGTACTGACACGTAAACAACATATGTTAATCTTTGCTATAGCTGATATGTTCATGGCTTAGAACGCGTATTCGTCAGTCATTTGAGGACACAGGAAAGACTCCAGGTGCATCCTCCTTCCAACTGCCTGAAACACATAATCTGGCAGGTACGGGCTCTTAATCTCTCACGCTTTAATATGTTTTTCATCTGACTGGAAAGCTTCCCATCTGAAATAATTTACATGTAGCTCAGTTTAGTTAGATAGAACCTTTTGTTCTTGACTGGTTCTTTATTTAAGTTTTGGAGACATGCTGCACCTGCTTATTGTTGTGGGAAATAGAAGTTGCGAAATATTTCATGGTACATAAAGTCTCAAGCCTTGTTTTAATATTTGTGCTCTAGCCAACACCTAAGAGAAGTAGCTGTTTTTTGTATTTTGAATAGTTACATTTATTTTATTCATTTGACTAGATATAACTTGAATGATCGTCATAGGGAAACAGGTTTATTTTTGTGGGAACTCTCTAGAGCAGCTTCAGTCAGTTTGCCAGTCAAAGCTCTTTCCCTTCATTCGCCCTGACAATGTGAGCACCACAGACCTTACATATATGTACACATGTGGTTTTACATGTGACTACAGTGCCTTCACTACTTCAAGTAAGCCCTTTTCTAATGAAATAAGCCCTTCTGCATTCCTTTACCTCATTATGCACTTAACTGAGTAAAAGTCAGCCTTTCTGGTGGTATTAGCATGTCACTTTGTTGTCAGGGCTCCAGGTAATGTATCAATTTGTTCATATAAAACTATGAAAAACAGTAACCGAAAGCATTTTAAGCATACTGTGAGCTTGTAATCCACATCTCCTCTTGGTTGTTTCAGGCAGATTATGGTTGGCTGCTATCTATATATGTTAGCACATTACTCACTAGCAATAAAGCTTTCTCTCTTAGAATCACCTGTTGGATTTTTTCATAGTCTCTCTCATTAGGAATTTCAATAATGCAGATGATTGTTGAATGTGTCCTTTATTACTCTGTTTCCAGATTCGCATAAAGCAGTTTCCTGTCCCTCGATCCTATAAGCTCCATGTGTCACTCTGCAGACTGTCTGCTCTCAGCTAAGCCCCTACAGGTGTCTGAAGGCTTCAACGCTCGGCCTTCTGGGAATGACATTTCATCCAGCCAGAGACGGGACATTTGTGCCATCACGGAAGGCAGACCTGCTCCAGGCGCATAGCATGTGAGTGCATGTGCCTTTGCACAGGTGCACGACTTAAAACTTTGATAGTTTGCAGGTTATTATTGTAGTTTAAAGTTTATGAGAACATGAACCGAGGCATTGAGAGTGAGAGTAAGCAGGCCTTATTTCTTACTCACAAAGCCATCTTCATATTTTCGAGCTGAGTGCTCTAAAGAGTTCAGCACTGTTGCAGTGTATAGTCTGCTGTACTGTTCATCATCACAGGCACCTCACAAAATACACACCAGCCAAACCAGCACCACTTGCTGTCTAAACCTGGGCCTCTGGGCTTTACACCGCCATGTGTGTATGTGTATGTGTGTGACAGTAATGAATGAACCCTTACTCTCTGTCTGTACCCTCTAGCAGTGTCCTCATTAACTCTGATTATTGATTTAAATAGTCAGCGGCCAAATTGTCCAATCCATCTAATCTTGATGACCGGCCTGCGATAAGAGTAGAATCCATCTCAGCAAACATCATAAGGAGGATTAACAGCGTGCACGGGGAGGAGAATCGCTGCAGTCCATCAGCACCTCATTAATACAGCAGCCGTATCGTCTGACACACCGTCAGTCCCAGGTCAAAGTCATTCACCGTACTCTTGTCATTCGTAGGTCTCAGTGATACTCTATACCCCTGTCATTACCTGGTCTCCGTCATACAGTACATCCCTTGTGATTATTACTGTGGGTGTCACTCATGCACTGTAATCCTGTTGTACTGCACATTTATTTTTGGAAATATGAACAAATGGGAGACAAAAGAGTCTAGAGTATTTGATGGCTGCATTGCAGTTTATTGTGATTAATGACTATCATGCTTCTCTTGGGAATAACACCAGAGTAGGAAGAGAGGCTATATACTGTCAGTGTAAATTACTCCTGTCAGTTAGTTATAAGTAGAGGGCTGCAACAGAGTAAACTCTTCTGATGAAAAGTTACATGTAGAAGCAATAGCAATAGACCTTTTGGGAAATATAAAAAGAGAGAGTAAACTGAGAATAGTGCTGCAGGGATGAAGTATTTTTGTAGTCCAACATCGACATTAACATTGCCCTGGTTGCATCGACAAAAAGCCAATGGGATTTTTCCACTGGATGTTGGATTTTTGCAGAAAGGCAAAGGCTCTGTGGTGAACAAAGGTTTATGATATTAATGTTTTGGCTTCACTTTTGGAAAGCTGTCATGCTGTCCATTTTTATATATGCCGATGGTCTGGTATGACAAGTAACTTATGCAGACTAATGTTAGGTAATATTAAGATATTTATGCAGACACTGAATCAGGTGACTAACTTTATGACTGCACTTGGCAAGATAATCTTAAAACCTATAGAAAGGCCCTCCGTAATGCCAGAGGAGCCTATTATTCAGCACTAATAGAAGAAAATAAGAATAACCCTAGGTTCCTCTTCAGCACTGTAGCCAGGCTGACAGAGAGTCACAGCTCTATTGAGCCACATATCCCCATAAACTTAAGTAGCAACGACTTTATGAGCTTCTTTTATAATAAAATTATTACTATTAGAGAGAAAATTAATCACCAACTGCCATCAACAGTTATCAGTGGCTCTCCAAGTTCAGGAACTTTAACTAATGTAAACTCAGATATATATTTAGACTGTTTTTCTGCTATCGATCTTCATCAGTTAATTTCAATAATTTCTACATCAACCTGTCTGTTAACCCCGATCCCAACTAGGCTGCTTAAAGAAGTCGTACCCTTAATTGGCACTTCTTTACAGGATATGATTAATCTTTCTTTATTATCAGGATATGTACCACAGTCCTTTAAAGTAGCTGTAATTAAACCCCTTCTTAAAAAGCCCACTCTCGACCCAGGGGTTTTAGCCAATTATAGACCGATTTCTAATCTCCCCTTCCTCTCTAAGATTCTGGAGAAAGTAGTCGCCAAAGAGTTGTGTGAATTTCTACATAACAATAGTTTATTTGAGGATTTTCAGTCAGGATTTAGAGTTCATCACAGCACAGAGACAGCTCTGGTTAAAGTTAATAATGACCTTTTGATTGTTTCAGACAATGGACTTGTCTCTGTACTTGTATTATTAGATCTTAGTGCTGCATTTGACACCATTGACCATGATATTCTTTTACAGAGAGTTGAGCATCAAATTGGCATTAAAGGAACCGCACTAAGCTGGTTTAAGTCATATTTATCACATCGTTCTCAGTTTGTACATGTTA